CAAGTGAAACACATCCCCATGGGAACCAACTCCTACTCCAGAACAGAAACTCACAGCCTTATTTTCTCACGTTGCAAAAAGATTGACAACTGGAACCTCCCATAGGGTAGAAAGCAGTTCCAGGTAAGTGGCCTTTATGGACCACTCACGGGAGTGTGTGCCAGCCCTGCTCAATCTGTTGGCTTCTGTGTTTAAATTCCCAGGGATGTGGATAGCTTGGATGGAAGCATTCAGCTACATTACCATGTCCTGTGCAAGGGTAGTTTCCTGAAACAGACTTCTGGACCCTGTACCTCCTTGCTTGTTTAAATAAAACATTGTAACTGTATTGTCCATCTGGACAAGAATGGACCGATTCTGAAGGATACCTTAGAAACAAATCAGGGAATAACTAACTGCTCACAATTCTAAAATGTTAATATGCAGCAGCTTCTCATCTTCTAACCAAGTGTACCTGGGATAAATTATCCACAGAAGACCACCACAATAAAGTAGTATGACAGGTCTGGGAATAGAGAGTCTGTGCCATAAGGCATGAACCCCAGCTCTATAACAAGATAGAAACCAGAGTTGAAGGGGTCGCATATGTAACCTAGCCATCGGAAGGGCTGTGGTGGTAGAAGCCACAGATCCCAAAAAGTGCAGAATGTTCTGAACCAATTGGAATTGGTGAGATCTGAACTGTCACACCAAGGCAAAGACTATCTGTACCCTTTTGGGAGGTAGAAAACCCTTCCCCACTGGGGAATCCAGCACAGCTCTGATAAACTGTACCCTCTGAGATGGACCTAATTGTGATTTATCCTAATTTACCAGGAGTCCTAGTCCTTGACAGGTCTCCATGACAAGAGTGCAATGACTCAACAAACTATCTTTGGAATCTGCCACCAGTAGCTAATCATCTAAGTAAGGAAATATATTGCAACCCTGCATATGGAGGTAAGCAATAACTGGGGCTAAACAGATAATACCTTGGGTGTAGTGACTAGACAAAAGGGCAGGACAGTGTACTGAAAATCTCGTTCCCCACATGAGAAATGTAAGAACTCGTGATACTGAGGGTGGAGTGAAACATTAAAACAGGTATACTTCAAATCAATAATGATGAACCAACAATTAAATTTTAATAATTGTAAAATCGAAGGCATGGACACCATACAGAACTTTGAAACACGAAGAAAAACGTTGAATTTTTTGAGATCTAAAATGGGCCTAACTCCCCCATCTTTCTTATCTACTAGGAACATACAAGAGAAGAAACCCTCTGGTGCCTGAGACACCATAACCTCCTCTATGGCACCTTTGTCAATTAAGGAGGCCAAAACCTGGACAAGATCCAAAGCTGTTTGGATGGACCCCCTTACAGGTAAAGAGCAAAGAGGAATAGACTTAAACTCTAATCTGTAACCAAATTTAACTAGGGACAAAACTCACTCATTGAAGGTAATAGCCTTCTAGGCTGTACCAAACTGAGCCAGCCTGTCCCCAAACTTAACAAGGGTTGGCAACGATCCTAGTCAGAAGGATGATTTCTGGAATGAAGTTGCCTCTCTGGGAGAGGGCAGTTGCTAATTCAGTCTAGGCCAATTAGAACCCTTATGCCTATGGTAATCCTGTTGTGGGGTAAATGTAGGATACTGAGACCCCAAGGGGCTGGAAAAGCAGTAGTCCCTTTGATACGGATGACAGGGCTGTCTCACAAAGGACCTCTACTTAAATTGGGACGTGAGACCCCTAGGGACTTAGCTGTCTGCTTGTTCTTCCTTATCAGGAAAAGCACCTCATTCATCTTGGAAGAGAAGAGAGTGGAACCTTCAAAAAGCAAGTCCTCAACTTTAAGCCTAGTCTTCACAGGCAAGGTTGTTGATCTTAACCTTGCATGGTGCCCGAGTACAATGGAGCTCATCATGGCCTGCACAGCCAAATCTGCAGAATGCCGTCCCACATTCATTTGCTGCTTTGAAAGTCTAATGGCCTCCATATGCAGAACTTTACCAAGGGAATCCTTATATTCCGGCTGGAGCTCCAGGAACAAAAGAGTCCTGTTCCATAAGAAAAGCTGATAACTATGAAACCATTATGGCTGGTTAACAATTTTGAAACCTAGAGCTGCTGAAGAACGTAATTTTCAACCCAGTACATCCAGTTGGATCTGTGGGATCCAATCTGTGGGAGTGGAGTGGTAGCCCTAATAGCCCTTCAGCTGTATCTCCTCCATAACCAAGGAGGATGAGTTGTCAAATAGTTAAATGGCTCCTTCTTGATCTTACAAAAATGTTCTCCCCTTCTGGAGGTAGGCTGGACAGATGCAGGTTGTTGCCACAGTCCTCAAGCCCCTCCAACACCGGGAAAACAATAATCTTGGGAGGCTCTGAATAGAGGTGATTCAGAATCCTATCTTTGGGTTTGTGCTCCAAAGTATCTTGAGAGACTGGGCCATATGAATAATCTGTTCTCCAAACATTTGACGATCCTTCATGGGAGATGCTGGATAAGGATATGGCTTGCCTAACCTCTTGTCTGGGTTTGGACCCAAAGTTGTGCCAAATCCATCAGATTCAATCGCTTTTTCTTCTCCTATCACTGTGGGGACAGGAGAATGCAACCTGCACAAGATGGTCACTGAGAGCCAATACAATGATACCTGATGAAGGTAATTATACAAACTTGCATCCCTGAGGCTTGTGAATTTGTCACACCATTACTCCAAATATTTCGGAGACATCATGTAGGGATGTGAAGGCAGTTGGGCATAGGCAGTTGGGGCTGAACCTGACCATGTAATAAGCCAGTATTCCCGTCCCCATCGGAGATAGAAACAGGGGAGCACTTCTTGAAAAGGGTCTTTTGAGCCATGGAAAGGACTCAGAAACCAATGTAGCTGCAACAAGTCTGACGAAATTCTCTCCACTGTAGCTGCAGACTCCAAAAACATGACCTTTGCCTTCAGCAGCAAAAGAGGAACTGAGGGTAGAGGGGTGCTGCTGCTGCACAGGAGCACATGGTCCCTGGGTGGGAACAAGATTCTGACTCTAGCACGCAGCACCCCCTGGGGGCTTTTAGCTGTGAAGAACTATCTGATGCCAGGCCTGCTCATGCACAGTCCCCATGTGGGAATGCTCAGAAGGTTGATGATAAACAGAGGATAGAATGCTTTGATACTTTACCCCAATCATTGTCTGCACCTCTAGAGCCAGTACTACAACTGCAACAGCAGCAGTCGGCATGCCTCCACCCGTAACTATCCCTGCAAACATTCTCTTTTGCAGTTCTCATGCCTGTCTTAACCTTCCCCAAGTGCCATCCTCAGCACAGAGCTTGGATTACAATGCTGCCAGAGTCCCACACTTTGCAGCTCTCTGCTCCTAATGACCATGTCATGGAGAGAACCTGTTTTTCTTTAAACCTTTAATCTTCCTTCCATTTCCATCTATGATCTATGTATCAGGGATCTCTTTGTGCCCACTTTCCTTGTTTCCCCCCCCTACTGCTTCAGACATCCTTCTCATTCAAATGTCCCTTTACCCTAAAATATACTGTATTTTTCGCTCCATAAGACGCACCTAGTTTTTAGAGGAGGAAAACAGGAAAAAGTGCCTCATCTGCTGCTGTTCAGTGGGGAGAGAAGCCTATGCAAACCAGAATGATTCAAGAGGGCTCTTCTACACAGGCAATAGGGTTACACTGTACAAAAGACTTCACAAATTATTAGGGTACACCCAACACCTCCTGTCCACACATGCTTAAGGTAGGATAGCAGCTCAATATTTCATTAGCAGTGGTACTTAAGAATATCTGTTCCAGTGCAACAGAACAAAGTTTGAGTTTAGTGGCACCTTTAAGACCAACAAAGTTTATTCACATGAAAGCTAAGACCCAGAATTAAACTCTGTTGGTCTTAAAGGTGCCACTAAACTCAAACTTTGTTCTGTTGCACTCTTTGTGTTTATTGACTGTTAGCCTTTATTTAAGCTGGTTATAGCTTAAAAAAGAGAGGGGGGAGAGGAAGGAAGGAAGGAAGGAAGGAAGGAAGGAAGGAAGGAAGGAAGGAAGGAAGGAAGGAAGGAAGATGTAAGGAAAGGGATAGAAATAAAGGGAAAGAAGGCAGGAAAGGGAAAGAAAGAAATTGGAGAAAGGAAAAGAAAGGGAGCAAAGAAAGGGGAAGAAAAAATGGGAAGAAAGGGACAGAAAATGAAAGCCTCTGTGTATGTTTGCTTTTTCCCCAAGTTCTGAATTACCCCACCAGCTGATAAAAAGGAGCTTGAAGACTTACATTTGAAAGAACACGTTCTCGGGTCCATTAAGCATATAAAAACGAAAGTAAACCAAGAGCTCCAAGAGGACCAAACTAAATCACACAGAAATTAAGGGTAGAGCAGATTGTTCCATTGGGAGGGGGGGAGAAGGCTGAACGGACTTAATGGACCTGAGAAGTGTCCTTTCAAATGTAAGTCTTCAAGCCTTCCCATGGGCTCCCGTGGGCTTGGGGGGGGGGGGGAGAAGGCAGTATTCGCTTCGTATTTTGCGGGGGAAAGTACGTCTTATAGAGCGAAAAATACGGTAACCAGTTCTACTCTTAGGGCAGTTTATTCTTCTTACTGGGGGTGGAAAACCTTTTCAAAATTAAGTGCTGGATAAGGATCCTACATTTTACAAATTTATTCAAAACCTTCTAAAGTGAAGACAGTAGCCACGATCCAAAAATGGATTATGCAATTTGATCTCAGCCACTGTACTCATTTACTACTTTATTATCATACTATTAACAGAAAGCTTTGGCTGTGCAATGGTAGAACAAATACAGGTGACAATCCTATAGTTAATGTGTACAGGATTGCAGCCTTATCAGTGTATATACATCTTGGAATTCCTACAACAATTTTCAACAACCTTTCCAATTACCATTTTAATAGCGCCCTACATTTCAACAGCAGATAATATACAGGCACAGTAACTCTTGGAGACAACATTAATTAGTTATTTGGGGGGAAAAACCTTACTTGGCATAGGAATTCTGACAGGAGGTGGTGGCCGAGGATGCACTTGTGGCCCTGGCATTCTCATGTTGTGAACAGGGCCTTGTCCGGGAGGCATTAGCATTCCAGGGGGAGGAAGTCCCGGAGGTGGTGGAGGAAAAGGAATCATGCTTGGCAAAGACACTTCATCTACGACCAGTGGATCATTGCCATGATCAAATTGGCAGAGGTCCCCAAGTACACAAAACCCACGCTCTGTAAAATCAAGAACAACCATCACCTGTAGTAATAACAGTAATAAGCCATCTTGTTGTGATTGGCTGGAGTTATTGTCAAAAGACTTTATAAATCAGAAGGTTTCTTCTTCTTCTGTGACATGAATTAACAAATAATTCTAGTTAGAAGGTTAATTCAAAAAGGCACTATCTGTACTGACCTTTCTGCAGAATGGTACAAATTAGTGTACAAAATTTTGTTAATTAGCATTAAGTGTAATATTCTGCATGGTACTGATACGGTTTATACGTTTTTAGAGAGAACGTATTAGCATTAAGTTACTTTATGCCATACACCTGTCTTTTTAAAAAAGGGAGTCAAGCTCTGTGAAAGTGTGCAACAGCTTACATTAAAATAAATTAAGAAGGTAAGATGGAAAGAACTAAACAGAAGTCATGCAAAATGCCTGCCCCACAGCATGGCATAAAAGCAGGCTTGGGGTATAGCTGCCCCCCCCCCCGATACTTTAGTCAGACACTAAAGGCTTACTCAGCATCATTACTAATGAAGGTAATCTGCCATTTTTATGCATAAACGTTTGCTCCTGTTAGGGTAAAAAATTGAAATTAAAAAAATCCACTCCTGAATTAGACCAAAAAGAGCCCCACTCCCATGAAATGTAGTATTATTTAAAAAGCCCAACATAATGATTATATATCAACATTTCAAGAATGGTTTGAAAAGACATTAAAAAGTGAAATGCCTACATAAGAGTAGTGACAGAAGGACCACTAAGAGGAAAGAGAAGCAAGGCTTACCATCATAATCTCGACAACGCCTTTTTTGTGGAGCATTTCTGCCAAACGAATTAGAAGAATGATTGTTGTAGTAATTTGACCAGCTTTCTGTTGTGTTTTCAGGATGGTGAGCAGGTGCAATAACTGTAACAGCACTGGGAATACACTGTGCACCAGAGGAATACTGCTCAGTAGAGTTAGCAGCAGACAAAGACGCTGGGTTATATGAGCTTTCCATATCACTCCTTTCACACTTGAATTTGGCTCTCTCTCGGTGTTCTGTTTTTTAAAAAACCCAAATCTGGTAAGTTTCTATGCTTTTCCAGCATTTTTTACATTTTTTCCAAGTCAACTGCATATACAAGAACTAACATCACATATATCTGCTTGGTATATTAAAAAGTCTAAGCTTTGCCTGGTTAATTTTGTTGCAAGGCTTGAACTGTATACTTGCTTATTCTTAGAATAGAGTGTTAACAATCTGCTTGTAGTACTCACACCAACTAAATCATCTTTCTTAAGAAAAAATAGATTTCCCTTTTGTAAATAATTTCACTTAACAGATTTCCTCCCAAAGCTTGCTGCACTGGAAAACACTTCTAAAGGCCTAAGATTCTTAAAAAATAGAATCCAGCAGTATATCAAAACCACAAACCTCTTCCTTGCTAAAAAGAACACAGCAGTTTACAGCACTGGTCTCTACCAGCAAGGCAAAGTATAATAGAAGGTATAGTTATACCAAAATACTCTTGAGAACAAATTAAAAAAGAATGTGCATGAGAGGGAAATCCCTTGACTAGCTCACTCTACAGAACACAGCCTTAAATCTGCTTTAATGAAGCCAGAAACCACTACTTCTCCAAATCAATTCCAGTACCTTGCTAAAGTTGTCAGAGATCTAGGTGATGACAAACTTCTCTTCAAATACAACAGTTATGGGGGGTTCCCCCAGTTGCTTTTAAATCAGTTGCTATGAAACTAGGATCAGAAATTCTTCAGCCATAATACGCTGGCAACTCACCAACATTTCTGTTTGTATCCCGTTCTTTGTTTGCATCCTGGTCTTTGCTTCTACCTCTGCTGCGACTCCGACTTCGACTCAATCCTCTGCTTTTACTGCGACTCTTACTTCTTCCCCTTCGCCAATCATATTTGTCTCTGTACAAGTCATTCCGGTCATAGAATCTATCATAGTCTCTCCATTTGCCATCATCTCTTTTTCTTTCTCTCATCCTGTTCAAATTAAGGAAAAAAAGAAAAACGGATTTCTATAATGCAACAAATTTGAAGTACCTGTAAATTTGCCCTTGCAGAGTCAAAACCAACAGCCAGGATAGAACAAAACACTGTTCCTGTGAAGATCTAAAAAAGATTTGTATAGCAAACATAGATCCATAGATGGAAATAAACAGAATAAAATGAATGTGCTGACAGAAGTCCTAAAGCTACCACATTCCTTGGATTCTCTGTACCACCAAAGGGTGTTTGCTGATACATGAAAAACAACCATGTGAATTTACACTGGCACAGCTAGAAAACTACTTCAAATACCTGAGTTTCCACATCAAACTCTTGTGACATTAGAAACAAGATTAAGTGACATTCACTCAAGGGTCAAATAATGCAATCCAAACACCTATCAGTAACTGTGAATTAAGTTGGTACTTTTCTCGATTACTCCTAAAGTACAAAAATTATTTGGGATGAAAAAGATTTACTGATGTCAAAGGCAGTGTAAGAGCCATTTTTTGAGAGGAGACATGCAAAATAACAACAGAGTGGCAGAGGGTTTCACATAGCCATTATGTGTAAATTGAAAAAGTTTCCAAGAGAAAGGGCATTCTACACAAAACAATTAGCACCGCAAATACCCATGCTTTCTATTTCAAAGCGTGATCAAAGTTGGACTGAAGAAGGCAGTTTCAGTTCTCATGAACTCTCCAGTGAGGCAGAAGCAGGTAAAGAAGGAGCTTACATTCAATCCAGCTACTCTTGGGCCATGGCCTCCATTCCAGATCAGCATTGTGAAGAACTTTTCAAAGGAGCCTTGACAGCACCAGGACGTTACAGCTATATAATAGAATTCCCCACCCAACAAAATCCTCCAAGTGACTTCTTATGCAGCTTTCAGTGACAGGCCTAAACACTTCCATGTGGCTACCGTTCTCTGCTAACAGTATTACTCATCTTGCTTTTAATAATATGCATGGTTTAATGATTGAATTTATTATTTTGTATGATTATGCACCGATTTAAAATGACTGAGCACAACAAGAAAAGGACCAAACTAAACTAGTAAAACTGCCTGTTCCTGGAAGTGCTCTATCAAAGGCACCCCAGGCAGCAACCATTTGGTTCTCTGGGCCCAGCAAATCCAATGGAGAAATTATTTCCACTATAACATTCTTCTTAAAAGGATTAGACAAAAACAATCAGCAAGAATTTCTAATCAGAATACAAAAAAAGAGGCTACACTTTATGAAATAACACTAACCTTTGTTCATTAGAATCTGAACGATTTTTCTGTGGGCTAGTATATTTCTTCTTTTTGCCCTCTCGGTCTTCTTCAAAAGATTCCTGAAATGTCTAAGGACAAATACCAAATCATTCTCATACCAGCTCACCCTTACAAAAATACAAAAAAGGCTTTGGACACTTCATCTAACAGACACTTAAATTCAGAAGCAGGAGGAATGTGATCAAAGTTAGAGCAGTCATCTTCAGCCTATAGGCTGAGTACCTCATGTGGGTTGGAAGTGCCTACATAGTTGCTACCTCTTTTATGGCCTTTTGAAAGGACCTGTTGCTAGAATGTTCCTATTTTCACACATGCTGAGAGGAGCAACAGGATGCTGGGAGGTCTTTCAGTGGCAAAAAGGATTCTTCCATCGCTCCGACCTTTGGCTTGTTCCTCACTGTGGCATACCATCTGGTGCTTGACTTGTGTTTCCTGTCCATGGCTCTCTTATTCTATTGCCCACAACGACACCTGAGGTCATAACTCTAGCTCCCTCTCTTTCAGTCACGTGACTTCCCATCTGTAAACTTGAGGGTAACCTATTCTTTGTGCGGGCTCAAAGAAGAAGAAATCCATACTCCATGCAGGCACTGGCCAAGCCCAGACCAGCTTCATTTTAGATATGAAATTATGCCAGGTGTCTTCAGAACCTTCTCTTAACTACAGCATGCCTGCTGTTTTTCTTGACACTGTGAATACAGGATTACAGAGAATGCACATTGTGCACTATGTGGTTTCCTCAAATATGAAAAAAAGAAGTCAGTCCTTGAAAAGCATACTAAACATTATACAGGAATTATTTTCTTAATTTGCATCTTTATTTTCTCCCTTATAGCATTCTATCACATTTTGAAACTTTGCAACTACAAATGCTAAACCTGTTCTATCAAACACAGCCAGTTCATTATAGCATACCTAATGGAATGATTCTGGATTGTACTGATGGGCCAGTGCAAATCCAGATTATAACTGGAAGAATCTGCACAGCTATTATATCTGCACTTGCCCTCTTCCTTTAAAACCAACATTGCTACCACTCTTTCAGCAGACTTTTTAAAATCAAAACTAGCATTCTCATCTAGCAACTGTCCACAGCCAAACAATAAATGTTCCCCATACAGTGCACACCTTCCCTAGTCTCTGAACTAAACAAACTGGCTTTTTTTATATATATACAATATATTTTATAAATATATGTAGTACAATTGACATAAAAGTGTATAAACGTAGTATAGTAGAGCAAAACAGTTACAAGTAGTGAACAAACTGGCTTTTGAACAGATTTTTAAAAATACCTTTGCTACTTCAGGGTTATTAGTTCTCATAAGCAGAAAAGCTGCAGTCACTGATAGCAGTTCCACAGAGAATGCATTACAGTAATTTAGTTCTGCAATCTCAAATTAATTTTCATCACATAATGCAAGTCATACCTGGTCATAATCTTTGTGAAAGGAAGACAACAAAACAATGACAGAGGATATTGAACAAGTCTACAGAAAGACCAAAAGCCAAGTCTAAACATAACTGAAGTATTCCTCAATTACTCATTTTATAGTAAATGAAAACATTCAAAAATAGAAATAAGAACTCCCCTTTAATGTTACAGGATACATATGCCTAAGAGATGGGGGGTGGGGTAGAACTGCCTGAAGCAAACATATCATCTCTCATTTGACCTTATCTAAGTATAGCAAAGTTCTTTACAAGTAACGTGTTCATCACTTAAACCAGGCCAGCCTATCTGAAGCTAAGAGAATACTACACTACAGTACTTTATCCCAGTATATCTACTCCCAGAGTAACACCCACTGAGCTCTGCACTGTACAATCTTAGAAAGAGAACCTCTGTCCTGAAATGCCAATGACTAGAATGAGCAGCAAATCTTTGCACTTTTTTTTTTGCTATTGTAAAACAAAGTGACATTTAGCGATGCAGAAGTCAATGTCTGAGACTTGGAGATGAGAGACCAGGTTCAAGCCCACACTCTGACATGGAAGCTTGCTGTGTGACCTTGGATCAGGAACTACCTTACAGGGTTGTTGTGAGGGTAAGATGGAAGGGGGGGAATTGTAAGACCTAGCCTCCTGATTGGAGAGTAAAGTAGGATATAAGTATTTAAATAAAGATTACGTAGTGAGATAAAAAATTACTGTTTCTGAATGAAATCTGTCTCCATAGCACTATTCCAATCCTACAGTTTACAGTTTTCCCCCCTTGCATCATGTAAAAGCGCTGGGGAGAGTTAAAACATTTTAGGACAACCCACACAATATACATTATATGCTGTAACACACCTTCATTACCAGTTGAAACCCTGGTCACTGAAATCCCACCCAAAGAGGAAAATATACTAGTATCAGGAAGAATATCAGGCCTGAGTTGAGTCCTTCTAGGCAAGGAAGTTCTGTAGTTCACAGACAGCCAGGCTTTTCAATAAGGGGTTTTATCATCAGCTCAGAGCCTGAAGACCTTTAAAATTAATACTGTTGTAGGCTATGTTTATTTTATGCTTTTATGCCCTTGCCAATGTTCCCTCTAAGCTGTGGAGTCTTGTGAGCAAAAATCCTGCTTTGTGAGCTCCTGGCATTAAAGTTGTGAGCAGGTGATTTGGCCACTGCATAAATTAGTTTGCTCTGGAGCCACCCTTCCTGAGCTAAGACAAAAATGTGTGAGCCAGAGGCTAAAAAACTGTGAGCTAGCTCACACTAACTCAGCTTAGAGGGAACACTGGCCCTTGCATGTCTTTGAATTTTTGGGTTTCATTGTATTAGCTGTGAACTACCTCAAGACAGCTCTGGAAAAGCAGCATATAATTCGATAAATAAATAAATAGTAATTTGGCTCCTGGTGACCTATCCATTCAAAATGCCCAAAAATTTATGTCTCTATAACTCACTACAGAATCCAACATTACATGTTGGTTTCTGGAGTGATTTTTGGAGTGAGGATTGAATAATTGCATATCTGAAGTCATATAGCAAGTCAGTCTCCTTTCTTAGCAGCAGAGATAATACCTGCCAGCAAGGGACCTAAGCTTTAGCCCAGGCCAGTAGCCATTGGGGGGGGGGGGGAGAGAAGGGCATTTGAAGCAGTGCTCCCTCCTGAATCTGCCCTGCCCCACTGAATCTTCCCGGCTTGGTGGCGATGGCAGCAGCGAGGCCTGGGCAGGTGGGCCAGAGGATGCTCAGAGGGCAGCCCACAACTCTGCTAGCCCCATCCTGCGTGTGGGCTCCCTGGTCACCTGGCTGCGAGCGAGGAGGCGCGCCCAGCTAAGGTGCCACCATCGGCCTTCCTTCACCTTCCTCTATAGGAGGCTGGGCAGGCAGGTTGAGGGCCTCTTGCAACATGTGAAGCAGGAAGATGGCTGGGGCTGTGGCAGCAAGAGGAGTGCCCAAGACCCAGCACCAGGCTTCCCAAGTACTTACCGTGATTCGGCGGGGAACAAAGACGTCTTCACAGGATCATTCTTGCGGGGACAACAGATGTGCCGCACCATGCCGTCGCCAGGAAGTGACGCCGGACGACACTCTGGCAATGGGGCCAGAAACTCGATGGTAACATCGAGTTTTCAGCCCCATTGCCACAGCGTCGCCTAGTGTCATTTCCTGGTGACGGCATGGTGTCCCCCACAGGATTGAGGTAAGTACTTGGCAACCCTACCTAGCACCCAGCGAACCTGCGGCCAGCCTCGCCTCCTCCAGAGCCGCTTTACTCACGTGCAAAGCACACCGAGCAGTACAGCTGCCTGGCCTTGATGACCCCACGTCTCAAGCAGCGCTTAATCAGATCCTAATTAAGTAATCTAATTGAGCTCCCTGCTCCCGGTATGCTAACAAATGGATTCAAACGCACGAAAGAATGCCCCACTTTGGTTATTATTATTATTTTTAATCTACAATCAAGCTGGCCTCCTTATGAGCTATTTGTTGCTCAAGAATGTCTTAAACAGTTCTTCCAGTTGATGGCGGCGCGCTAGCAGACTCACCTCCCGGACCTCCCGGGGGTGAAGCTGCGCTCCAGCAGAAGGAGGGGGTGTGCAGGATCGTCACCCCCCCAGGGACCCTATTGAAGGGGCCTTGGCCAAGGGACTCTCGAGAGGTCGTCTCTTCGCTGGCGCGATGCCGGGGAATTGAGGCGCTTTTCCGTCCCGGCGGTTTTTCATGCTGTGAGACTGAATGGAATTAAGTGATGCCAACCAGGGCAAGCACAGGAGGTCGAGCGTAAGAAAACGGAGCTAAAACGAGGTCTATGGACCAATTATGAATGTGAGTTCAACTAAAGAGATCGGTTAAAGTGAAAAAGAAAGCTCCCTACCCATGCGGAACAGAAAGTGAGGCGAGCGGGGGAGGGACGCCTCCCATGCGCATAAACTTTTAAGCGAATCAGAGGGGGGGAGCGGAAGAAAAAGTGAAAGAGACTTACCAAGGCGAGCTTGCGCGTTTAAGCGCATATTCAGAGACTTTTAAAACTTTTGCAAAAGTAAACAATTCAAGAAGATGGTGGGGGAGAGGACAGAGAAAGAGAAACTGTTAAAAGCGAAAGGAACTGAGAGTCCAAGACCGGAAGCAACCAACGAGCTGGCAAAGACATTGGCGGAATCCATGCGCCCCCTGCTGGATCAGATGAATAATCTCAGGGAGCAGTTGTCAACAATGAATCAATGTATCACCACCCAGCGAACACAGTTGAATGACACTCTTAAAATGATGAATCAAACAGCTGAGAAGGTGAAAGAAGTGGACGCCACTGCCCAAAGGGTGAAGAAGAAAGTACAAAAACTGGAAAAGAATCAAATCTCCAAAGAAAATCAGTTGTTACAGCTACAAATGGAAAAAGCCAGTCTGATTCTTCGCTTCCAGGGAATTCCAGAGACTAAGGGAGAGAATCTGAAGGAAATGATGAGTGAATTACTGGCCCCAGTGACAGAGATGAAGGCGGAATCAATTCAATTCAATTCAAATACCTTTTATTGGCATTCAATATTAGAAGCATTTACCAATAATACAATCCAAAAGAAATTATAAAATAGATAGTCGTGGCTATGTCAGGCCTAACTCAAGTTGTCACAAGCTACATTTGACCATACAAAAGATGCCTGAATCATAAAATAAATTGGCATTCTAAACTTTTAAACTTAAATTTTTAGACTTATAAATTAAGAATCATTAATATGGTCAGGGTCACTCTTCCGTTTTATAAAACCATGGAGAAACTTAGCGGTCAGTTCAATGATCTCCGGATCTCGTGAAGCAAGGAGAAATTGTACCTTGATTCTATCCGATTGGCCTGCTACCAACCTAAGGGGGGCTTCTATAAATTCCACTCGAATTTCATTTAACAATTTACAGCGTAAGAGTATGTGCTCAACAGTTTCTATTTCTCTTCTATTACATCCACAGAACCTGACTGAATAAGGAATTTGCTTATATCTCCCCTCAAGAATAGCAGAGGGGAGAACATTAAGACGGGCCAACAGATAAGCTCTACACATTTGCGGTGAAGTCAGGCAGAAAAAGTAATATGGTAGAGCACCAGAAAGGGGATAGGCCCACCTTACTGAGGAGCACCTTCCGGAGGCAAGGGCTCTGAGCTCTTGCAACTCTATATCAATAAGCCTCTGTTTAAGCAGAGTAAAGACCTCAAGCTCTGACCAGATGACAAGGTCAATGAAGGCGGAATCTTTGCTAAGCAATATGGATGTGGCCTATAGGTCATATTCCGGATATATAAAGAAAAATAATGTGCCTGGGGAAATAGTGATAAGATTCTCAAAGAGGCATGTGAGGGATGCAATCCTGAAAGCGGCATCTGGCACACCCGTGAAAGTTGGCGAAAACAAGACATTCCATTTGAAATAAGACAAAGGAGAGAGAAGTACAAAGATTTAATTCTTTTTCTCCAAACAAATACAATCGGATACAGATGGCTAACTCCAGAGGGCGTAACCTTCAAAATTAAGGATAAAAAGGAAAAGATTGACTCTGTTCAGAAAGCATGGGGATTTTTAAGAGTCCAGCTGGGAGAGAGAGGAGGAAGGAAAAAAGTTATGGACAGTAGGTCCAGTGGCGAGCTGGACTCGGGGTCTTCTGGAGAAGATTCTCTATCAGAGAATGGGGCAGCAGCCCCCCAAAGTCCTTACAAACAGCAAAAGAGACTGGGCAAGGGAAAATGAAGACTGAAGGACTCTGAACTGTGCTTTTGACATTTTTAAAATTAGATGCTTGGGGATCTCTCTTGTAACAGTTAACATTAAGAATTGAAAAAGATAATGCTATACTTAGTTCATAATGGGACTAGCGTGACTAAGTGATAACGTATGTTTAAGCTGATTTGATGACCTCCTCTCTTGGGTTTTTAGTCAGTAGTGGGTACTTTTTCTTATATGTAGTCCCCTCCCCTATTTTCTGTTATAATTTGTAGTGCTAATAAAAAAAAGAAGAATGTCTTAAAAACAGGGGCTTAAGTACCCAAGTAACATATTCATAAAAGTAACTTTTCTTTCTTCAAACTGTTTCTTTCTTGCTTCAATATCCAGTGGGGAAAAATATTATAGACCGATAAAGGCAGGTTAATTCACAAGCAGGATACAGAGAAATTTAATATTACCTCCTCTTTGATTTCTTCTTTTCCTTGTCCTGCAGTTTTAGATTCTGGTTTTGCTGGTTCATTGGGAGATAGGTAATTCTTGGTGTATAGGCTCTCAAAGAGTTTATCAACAAAACCTGACGTTTCTGGCAGAAAAAGTATATGAAAAAGATTCATTTGGTAAGAAAACTGTTTTTCTTTGCTTCCTGCCCTCAGGGCATTTTGTCAGGGTTTTTTATCCGCTTGAAAAGTTTTGGAAGCAACTGAACACCATTATGAAATATTTGCATTTTATAAAGATAATTGAACTATTTTCAACACAAAGATTAGAAAACATTATTTTAAACTGCCCTTCTACTGCCTCAAGATGTTTTCTATTAACTGTGTAAGAACCCACAGTTTACAGCAGATGCACACAACTCTCAAATTCTCAACTGCTTCAGATTCCATCACCTTTTACAAAAGGCACTTAAATACACAATCCAAAATGTAAAAGAAGAGAGAAGCATGTTTCAGTCTATGCAAGTCTTTATTATTCTGAAGCACATGAAGATGCCAAAAAAGAAAGTTCAGAACAGGAAGCTACTGATCTTTCAGAAGCCAATCCTAGTAAGATGGTAACATTCAAGGGATCTGTGTATCTCCCCTAGTGTTACAGATGTATTTGGACTATTGCTGGCTTTGGTGATATTAAGTGTTAAGCATGTTGTGTTGTTTTAGGACTTTGGTTTACATGGTTGCCTAAAACCTCCTTCTCCTACGATATTTACTTAATTTGACAACACGGAACTCTTTAGTAGTATACTGCTATCTTAATGTAATGTAAAATGTAACTTCATATCCAGATTTACTAACAGCACTTTACAGGGGTCTTTTGGGACCAGAGCGTGCCAGAGCGCCTCTCCGGGAGCCCAGGAGCTGGCAAAATGGCGGTGGTAGCAAGCCCCGCCCCCAGCTCCCACCCCCCGCTACGGCCTGTCACCGGCTTTCCAGGGCCTGTGCTGAAGCGCTGCGGCCCCAGGGAGGCCCGAGGAGACCCATCGTTGCTTTTCCAAGGCCCGCGCCAGAGCGCTGCGGCCTTGGGGATGCACGTCGCTGCCTTCTCAGGGCCCGCACCAGAGCTCTGCGGCCCAGAGGAGACCAGAAGAGCGCCGCCTCCCTGGGCCAAAGCTGGAGTGCTGCGGCCCGGAGGAGGCCAGAAGAGCCCCCCCGCCTACCTGGGCCAGCGCCAGAGTGCTGCGGCCCAGAGGCCAGGAGAGCACCCTCGCCACCTTCCTGGGCCAGCACTGGAGTGCTGCGGCCCAGAGGAGGCCAGGAGACCCCCGCCGGCTTCCTGGGCCAGCGCCGGAGTGCTGCGGCCCAGAGGAGGCCAGCAGAGCCCCCCGCCGCCTCCCTGGGCCAGTGCCAGAGCGCTGCGGCCCCGAAGAGGCCAGCAGAAGCCCCGCTGCCGCCTCCAGGGGTAAGTGAGGGATCCGTGGGGGGTGGTGAAGGCTTGAGTGGGGGGGAGAGCCTCCCCCATCTCTTTGCCCTTTCTTTCCCTTTTTTTCTTCCCCTTTCCTTGTCTTTCCCTCCTTTCCTTCTCTTCCTTCCTTTTTTCCCCTTCTCCCTCTTTCTTTCTTTCTCTCCTTCTTTCCTTCTCTTTCTTTCACTCCTTCCTTCCTTCGTTCCTTCTCTCTACTCTTTCTCTCTCTCTTTCCTTCCTTCTTTCCTCCTTCTGTGGCCCAACTCTAGTGAGAAGGGGTTTAAACTTTAAACCCCTTCTTTCTTCGCTCCCCCCCCCCCCCCCTAGGGAAGGGGGGGCTTTTGAATATTCCCCCCCTTGCTTCCCCTTCTGACATCCCTTCCGGTGATGTCAGGAGGTGTTTCATATGCTAATGAGCTATTATGCTAATAACCTAGTAGCTCATTAGCATACCATATGCTAATGAGTCCTGCAGCTCTTTTTCTACGAAAAGACCACTGGCACTTTATATTATTATTTGTTAGGCTGAAAGCAAATGCTAATGTTTCCCTATAGAGCTTGAAAGAGGGATCAAGACTTGCTTTCCAATGGACTAAAACTAAGACGTACTTTAGTACCTTAAGGTGCACCAGCTTACTGCTTCAGCTTGAACATGGGGTGTATTTGCAATTATTGTTTGAATAAAGCTATGACTCAGTACAATTGCATGTATTAAGTTATAGAGAAATTAACTCTATCCCAGATGAGCAGTGCTGCACTAAATTGATTCCACTTCCCACCTACTATGGACTACCAGAACAGTGTGACCATGAAGTGGGGATAAGCAATCAGAGAGAGAAATCACAGTGCTTTCTCTAAGAGGCAAATGAAGTTTGGGTCAACATCAATGAAATTTATATTCTTAAAGTAGTATGGATTTGACAAGAAAATTGCATTTTTTGCCAAATGAAAAAATAGCTTTCTTCAATATTTTCACAAATTCCTTCTCTAATTAATAGTATACCCTACCACATTATTTTACAGTAAATATAGTCCTAAGTACAGAAAACAGAGTTATTTGTTCCATTTGACCAAGCAAGTCAAATATAAGTCCTCTGCTACACAGTCAAAGCCTTCTTGGATACTGTGGGACATCCAAGTTTTGTGATATGACATGGCAATCTGCCATTTCAGGGAAAGATTAGGGAAATAGTAAGGAGTTCTAGGAAGCGCACCCAAGACCTTGAGCATGATTAAAATATCTCTTTGTTTCTCAGCCACATTCTCACGTGCATGAAGAAATTACTGATTAATCACACCGTATACAGAAAAATTATCTGTAACTGTAAATAAGCTGCAAAGATGGAACTGCACTAAAGCTGTAAAAACACTCCACATCATAGCTTTCTGCACATTTTTTTCTGGTGCGAGTATTATTTCTTGAGACAGTAATCTCACAACATTAAATTTTTTAGGTTCCTCCCCAATTTTACCCACCGTCCCATAATTTCCCTATGAACATAAGCCTGTCAGATCTGATGTAGTTTAATAACCAGATAACAAGGGGAAAAGCAGTCCAGGTTGGTGCTTGTTTATGCAGTTCCACTAATTCTGATTAAACGTCTAAGTAAAATTGCATGGGATTGGAACATAAATACTAGAGTTAAAATATTCTGGAAATTAAGAAGACCAGGTCAGACACAACACAACATATTACTTCTAAAAATATCCAAGTAGTTATTTGTCAATCAAATTCTAGACTTTTTGGTGGGGTATTTTTATTGCATAGCTTACAAGATGTTCTGTGCCACTTTAAAGATTAACTAATCTGTGCCACAGTAAGCGTTAACCTCTAAATCACCATAGTACTTTTTGCTTTACTGCTGCCATACATTAGCATAGCCACTCCTCAGGCAATTTATAGATGCCTACTCAGTGCTTTGGTTTCTAAGTTTAACTATCTGAGATGGACACAAATCTGATCTTTCATGCGTCTATAACTTGTGGTTAAGGCATAGTACAATCATTTTGTAGAGGAAAAAGCTTTTATATATTTGGCATTCTGCAATTCAGCTGCATATCGAGCTTTCTAATTTACATATTAACAACATGCTGCCATTAACAAATTAGCACATAATACCTTTTTGTAGAAAGACATCTAGCTGATCAGCACAGAAAGCCTTCAGCTCCTTCTCAGGCTTATCTTTCTTGACCAACGCCACAACATAGTTAGCCAAGGCTGAGGGATCAGCATCACATCTAAAGAAAAAGTTACATTTATGAACATGTCACTAAGGTGCCCCCATTGATTTCAATAAAACCTATTTCTAAATGTGCCTGTTTACTATCAAAGTTTAAGAACTGGCACACATTTTATTTCATTTATGGCCTGCCTTTCTTGCTGAGACTGAAGGTGGATTACAAAATACAGACAAAAATTCAATTAAACAACGTAGACTATCCAATAAACAGAGCAACAGGACAAGGATTACAGAACTGGAAGACCACGCAAACAAAAATCCAAGGCATAACACAATGTAGAAAGTGGCACACAAAGGCTCTGCACATTTTCTGCTCATAAGTGAAAGTTGTAATTTTATTTTCAGTCTATAGCTGCTAAGAGTTTAAACTCTATTAGAAGTAGTCTAAAACCTTACAGTCAAAAAACTGGGTGATGAAATCCAGCTTCTCTAACCCTAGTGCTTCTTGGCTCCTGTGGCCTCCTTAGGGCTGCCAAGTCACAATACTGCAGTGAAGGAGCCGTAGCAGAAACCACAACAGGTAGAATTCCCTGTCAGAGTCTAAACATACTAAACCCAGGCCCTTTTGCTCTCTCCCCCTTGCCTGCCGACTACATTCCCACTAGTAGTGCACAGCCCATCATATAGCCGAGCACCATCTATAGTTTTACCTCAGAACCACTTTCAAGTTGATACCTCGACCATCCATTATTTTCTCAGGTCTTAACTTTTCAGGCCTCTGCCTATTTGGTTCCAGCCTATTTAGCAACTCTGTCCTTGATCAGTTTCTCTTACATTACCCACCCAATACGCATATCGCCCCTCATTTGACTGATGTTTCTTCTCTGATTAACCCTTTCTTGTCCCAGTTCCAAAATACCTTTGCTGTTTTCCTCAAGCTGTTTCCTCATTCCTTATTCAGCTTTTTCTTTCTAAATGTTGCTTACTCTTTCGTCTATCCTGACCTCTACTGGAGCCTCTTCTCAGCCTACAACCTGTGTGAGGTTTTACTCACAGCCAGACCGAATCCTTGCCCGCATAGAAGCAGAATTCCAAAAAGATTAGTTTCCCACATTCAACTGAATATTTCATACACTACACCAACTCAGCCTATCTCTGTCACAGCTTCAGTGCCATAAGTACAAGAGAAGACAGACATCACATATAGACGGACAGAAAGATTCTTCTGGTCTGTAGGGTAAGAAATCTCTCATTAACACTGTTACTATAATTTTGTTTGTTCAGGTGTAAGCATTTGAATAATCCACACAAATATGTTTCAAATAAAAAGAATTTCAAACCCAAAACACATGTATAAATATTGAGGCTTTCCAGCCTTGCCAAGTCACCTGTTTCAAATATCCTACACTATCCTATACATTTTTTCAGATGTATATGTGGAGCAGGCCAAATGGTGTGTGTAGCCTTGCTTGCCCAGGTTGGTGTACTGTCAGTGCACTCTGACCTGCACAACCCCAGTACCTTTAAAAATTAGTGGGAAAAACAAAACACTGTGAAAAGGGTAAGTTTCTACCACAATAGATTTTGTCATTCTCTCGCAGTAGTAACTTGTTTAAATGCTATTCTTTTACAGAAATATTCCTCAAAGAAGTGTTTCTGTAGCAATATCATTTAAAGCAATTACTACTATGATAAAATGACAATATTTATTTATTTATTATTTACATTTCTATCCCGCCCTCAGGGCGGCTTACACGGCATATCGCCAGATAATACAATAGAACAATAAAAACATTAAAAAATATTAAAATACATCACAGTCATCAAAATTACATCTGATTGATTTCAATCCTTTAGCAAAACCAGATCATATAGCCATTCTACACAGAAAGTTATTCTTGAAACCTTTCAAGAACATTCATCTGCAAAAGATGCTTGAAAGTAATTTAAGTCCTGAAATGCTTCAAGGTAATAAAAATGATACTTCTGTTGATATAAAGCAATATAAAGTGGCTGGCAGAGGGAGGATGGGTGGGTGTGGCTCGGGGAGGTCGTTGTTTCTTTCTCCGTGGCTCCATTCGGCTTGGGGGGGGGTGCAACAAGCCCCCCTCTCCCTGAGAGAGCTGTGGGAGGGTGGGGAAGGGGGGGTCTCTCCTTTGCGTGGAAATATTGGGGGGAGGAGGTGAAAGGAGGCTTTTTATTTTCAATTTGTCTCGCCGTTTGGCTGCTCTTCACTGGGTACTGTGTTATGGGTTGGACTAGATGACCCTGGAGCGGTCTATGATTCTATGATATAAAGCTGCTCCCTTGATCCAGTTTAAAAAGTGCTGGCCCTTGAGTACTAGAAAACCACTGTCAATCAGAAGGCACAGTAATGGCCAACAGTCAAATTCAGTCTAAAAACCAATGTAAGACCGTTTCCTACTTTAAACGAGCATAAATGGGAACATATGCATATATTATACTTCAAGGAACCTTGTATTAAAAAAAAAACTCACCTCGACTCCAGTCATAAAAGCAAAACCTGAGAAGACATGTACCTTCCTCATAATGTAATGATTAAAAAGTAGGTTTCAGCAAGATTCTTGACTATGACTTTTAGCCTAGTGTTCTCCTGAACAGATTCTAACCAAGTGTTTCTGTCCTATGACTACTATGCACAACTAAATATACTATAAAGTAGTTAGGAACTTATTTAGACATGGCAATACTTTGCAATTATGCAGTGAGTGCCAAAATTATTCAGACGTTTGGGAATGAAGCTTCCACAACTACAGTTTTAATATAATATTTATATGCTACTGCAATCTTGATTGATAAATTAGCTTTGTGGAGACTGTGATGCACAATAAAGGCAACAACAACACACAAAAATTGAATAATCAGCACTTCATCTTCAGAGAACTGTGCAGACATTTATAAATTAATCTTCCACACCTCTATGTGAAAGAAAAATACATATTAAAATCCACAAATGAAACAGAAACACTGCTACTTGTTCACATAAATAGAATTCAGGACCACCTTTTCCTCCACCTTCATTTTGCCAAAAAAGTATTGGCAGAAAGGCTAATCCACTGAAATCAGAACCTACTTAAAAGCAAATGGAATATTAATTTCATCAGGGCCAGAGGGAGATTTTAACAATACAAATGCAAGACTACAGGAATCAGGACAATTAAAGGATCCAGAACTTTATCACTTGCCACTTTAAGTTCAATGCATTTAAATGACAGCTTGACAGAAGTATCAGATTTATTTACAAACCCCAACTGCAAGGGTATATACTGACTAACATGAGGCCATGACAACAGTACAGCCATAATATAATTATTTGCCTGATTATAATATACAGTCATTCAAGAACCTGATCCCTTCACTTACCTTGAAAACTACCAAATAGAAAACAAGAATGTAAGAGTTGCTGGGCTGGATCAGGCCAACAGGCAATCTATTCCTGCATCCTGTTTCATACAGTGGCCAATAAGATGACATCAGAAAGTCCAGAAGCAAGGTACAGAGGCTATAGCCTTTCCCTGTTATTGTTCCCAGGATTAATATAGACACTGGGCAACCTCCTAATCCTTATCTAATTCTTAATATGCCCCAAATCTGTGGGCTGGAGTTTTCCTGGGCAGAGGTTGCCAGGGGAGAGAAAGCGGGAAAGCTAAAGGCATGGGGGGGTGGAGATTAAAGATAGGTTTGGCTGCTGGGGGGATGGAGAGAAGGAAACAGCAAAACAGGAAGGGCTTTCAGGGAAGGGGGAAAGGAAATAATGGGAGGGAGAAATTATATGTCCCTCACAAATCCTTGTAGATCCCTTAAACGTCCCCACTTGTATATTCTAATTCTTAACCCAGACAAACATGAGGCTACTTAAATCCAGTGACCAGAACACACAAGACAGATATTTCTACAAACCTGAAAAATGCTCCAGATTTGAAATCTTTAAAAATACATTGGGAGGTTAAAAAATGATAAAATAAGTGCTGGTAGCTTTAAGAAACAGATGCCCTCAGTGGCTGTTGCTAAGCAACCACAGCATTCCAGGCTTGATTTCTGTCAGTAAAAGCAGGGGGACAGGCTGTTTTGGCTTTTGAGGAAAGACTCATTGGGGCCAGGCCCAGCAGCAATCACCAGGCAACTTGCTACCACCCACCTGCCATGAGTTACCTAGACCTGGTCATTTGCTACTGTTCAACAGCAGCCACCCTACAAAAGCCAGTGTAGTATAGTGGCTAAAGATTCAGGGTCTGTGAGGCTCAGGTTCAAATCACCAGTCTGCCATGGAAGTTCACGAGATGACCTTGGGTTAGCTGCATACCTGCAGCCTAAACTACCTCACAGGGCTGTTGTGAAGACAAAAAGGAGGAAAGGATAATGATGTAAACTGTTTTGGACTTCACTGTGGAAAAAGGTGTGATATAAATGAAGTAAATAATAAATATTGCTGAAAATGGGGAGGCAGATAAAATATAGATTGATGAATGGTGGAGAAGGGGGAATGAGGCAGGGAAAGGGGAGATTATATGAGGCTTACCAGGAGGAGGAGAGAGGAAATAGTGCAGGGAAGAGGATATAGGGTAAGGTGAGATGCCCCTAAGTCCTTGCGGGTTCCTTACGATGCAAGTGGGCCTGGCCCTGTTACAGCACCACACAACTGGGCCATAGTGTTCCCAGGCAGAGAGTGCTGGAGAAAAAACTGAAGACGAAGCTGCAGATAAAGGTAGGTTGGCTGCTGGGTGAGAAGTAGAGAAGGGAGCAAGGAGGGGAGAGGCTATGGAAGCTTTCAGGGAACAGAAATAGTACAGGAAAGGAAAATAAGAAACCCCTCAAAGTCCTTGCAAGTCCCGTTTGTCTAAAACTATTTAAGATGTACTGTTTTAGGCATGGACAGAGACAGTGACTGGCAGGATACCAGAGCCTAGACATAGCTGGTTTAGGAGTCTACTGAAATCATGTCTCAGGATCCTCTACACCTCCAAAGGAGACTCAAAGTCCCCCCTTGAAGACTGTACAGGGGTTCATCCAGTGTCAGAGACACGGGGCCAGAATGAGGCCTCACAAAAACCTAGTACAAGCCTTACAAGACCGTGAAGCTAAGAATCGCAAAATAATACAGACTGCAACCTATTCTCTGAATACTTCAGTTTCCTACAACTCACCCTTAGTTCTGATATGATGGAGGAGCGCACAGGAAAAAGTGACGGGGCAATGCTTTACCCCTACAACAGAATTCCAGCAGTGGGACATAGTTAGCCTGAACACGTGAATTTCCCAGAAGTTTTGAAGAGCAGCTTCTCTGCTAATGACACACGACGGTAGTTATGTGTTTATTAAACAATTAGTCACTCGAGGAGCCAGCGTGAAACCCCACAAAGAAGGCGAAGAGCATCCGCTCCGGAAAGTGCATGTCAGCCTTCTAGCCCCTGAACCTCAACTCTTGACTCCCCCAATCTCACGTGCCTCCTTCCCCTCTCCTTCCCTAGTTACCAAGCCACACTCCGGACAGTCTAACGCAGAGCAGCCATTGTCACCCCCACACTCCCAAGTTGCTCCATGACCCCGACCTTCCAGGCGCAGCAATTCCTCAAGCGCGCTCCATACACAGAGAGGCGAGCCCAGGCATCCCCTCGCACCCGTAAGCCACGAACTCCAACTGCCCCCTCCTCAGCCGCTGAGCCCCCCCCCCGGCCGCCCTCTCCCACTCCCACTCCCTCCCTCAGGGGCTCAAGGCTCACCCTTGCCCCTCTTCACCCACGAGTACCGTCCCCCCGCCCACACCCGCACTCACATTGGCTCCAGTAACTTGGCCAGCCAGGACTTGAGCGCGTCCACGTTCTCTATGATCATGATGATGGCGCTGCAACGGCTACACGCCGGGCCGCATCGCCCCGTTGCGCTCCCTTCACCCCCGCGCCGCTTAGTTGCTCGCTACTAGCGACAGCCCCCACCCCTCCCCCCTCTTTGCTGATGCTGAGCGTAGGCCTAAAATCAGACCAGGAACTAGCCAACCGAGGGCGCAACCGAACCTGCTGGGTGCCGGAGAGGGGGCGGGCACCCGGTCTCACAGCACAGCCAATCGGATGACGGGGCACTTAGGCATTCGAGCCAATCAGAAGCTGCTGAGAGTAAGGGCGGGGGTCACAGTCAGCAGGTTAGGTCGAGTCAGCTTACGTGAAATCCTTGTGGTGCAGTAGCGCCAAAGTGAGAGGGGAGAGCGGAGGATTCGGGAAGAGTTGACGGCTCTCACGCGCGGTGTGCCTAGAAAAGAAGGCCAAACTTGTGCAGCCCCTCGACGTGTTTTAATAGTTGTGCGTCAGAGGACGCGGTGTAAAAATAGAATACCCCTGAGCACGTGCAGAGTGTATTTTCTCGCAACGGCTCGCCCTCCCTACCTAGCATGTACAGGACTGCAGTTTCTTACACACAACAGTGGTTGTTTTCCCCGTCACATATTTCCAGTAAATGCAAGATCGCCTTTTAAATGTATGTGAAGGTTGCACTTATTGCTTGGCAGTGAGTCGCATTGAGCAAATCTGCATCGAATGCGATAGATTACGCCGCAAAACCCGTCGCATTTAGCGAACAACGGGCATGCGGTGTTTTCTAACGGTGTGTGTGTGGTGAGGTGCTTTTAATTAAAGGCTTTATTTTTTTATGTTTTAATTATTTTCCCCTTTGTATTATGGTATATTTTGGAAGGTTTGTTGTATGTGGTAGATTAAAAAATATTCAATTTTGGAATAAAAAGTTAAAAGGATTTATTAGAATGGCTTCTATGATCACTTGCAATGGGACTTACATCTGGGTAAGCATATTTAGGGCTCTCTTGGACTGCACCTTTTCTCTTTCCTAACTGAAGGGTTGCAAACCTGTGTCTCTCCCACTATTATGATTCATCACCAGACGACCAAGATCAGTTTCCCTGGCGAAAACAGCTGCTTTGGAGGCTGGACTGTAGGGCATTATACCCTGCTGAGGTCCCTCCCTTCCCCAAACTCCCAAGTTCTCCGAGCTCCACCTTCAAAACCTCCAGGTATTTCCAAACCCAGAGCTGGCAACTATCTGCAATTCACATAGAGATGGGCCTTTAGTGTGAGATCCACTTTCTTCCTCCTTGTCCTGTGCTGTATTGTATTTAAATAAAGCACACAACACAATAAGGGAACAACCAGTACTCTACATATGCCAATACAGTTACCAGCTACCTGATTTAAAAGTTCCTTTAATAGAGGCTTAATGGGATGCTATTTACCCCACAACATGAAAGGTTGAAGTGAAGATGAAGTGCCCACCATGAAGGAACCAGGTGCTGGTAGGCTGTCACCTTCCCCTAATTGTGGCCCTAGATAGGTATAACTAATTACATGTAAACCGCTCCAAGCCTACGGGAAGGAGCGGTATAGAAGTCAAACAAATAAATAAATAAATAAAAAACTTCACCTGTCCATTTAGCCTCTTTTAAAGGGACAGAACATTTTCTCCCATGTCTTGTTTGCTAGTTCCAGAATTTCGTTTTAATGTGTGGTGTGAAATATAGGAGATACATTTTTCAGTGCCATCCTAAATGGGTTATTGACTTCAATGAACCTCAAAGGATATAATTGTTTAAGATGGCACCGTATGTTATATAATATGAGGTAAGGAACAGTTTGGTTAAATAACATGGCAATCCTACCTGGAACAGTGTGCTTTTTCTAGAAATGCTTTCCAGTTTTTTTGGAACAGTTAAGAGTTGCTCATAAACATTTAATTGGTAACTTTTAATTTATTGAGAAAGCACTAACAGGATGAATCTGAAAAGATTTACTTGGAAATTCTCTTGAAACAAATGGGATTTCCTGTCACAGGCCATAAGATTGTGTATGTCTATCTTACATTTAGTATTTATTTATTTCATAGATTTCTATGCCACCTCTGTAAAAAGCCATAGTGAAAACTGAACACAGCGAAAAGATATATTGGCAAAAACCCTTTGCAATTTTATGTAAGCTTTTTGTTTTTTGGCCATTCCAAGTAACGAAGGACACATAAAATCCACTCCACTGACATGAAATGGCAGCCATCGTGAAATTATCTAGTGCAGTGATGTTCACTTCAAGGTTTGCACAGAGCCACATTCACAATTATTTACCATCAACCAAAAGAGCCACATGACTATTGTATGCTCAGAGTACCACCTCACAAAACACACACACACACAATAAAAATATTAAATAGGCTTGCGGGCATGTAGACTCTTCCCACCATGGCTTAACTTTAGCCAGCCCTTGTCTCTCTGGAGTGAGGGGAAGGGCTTCTGTCTTGGCCTTCCTACTCTCTCCTTATCATAAGGCACAGTAGCTGAGGCCAAAGAGCGAGATTGCCAAGGCATCCAGAGGAGCGCAAGCTGGCTGTGGAGGGTGGACTGTATGGCATTATACTCTGTTGAGCTTAGGGTTGTCAGCTCTGGGTTGGGAGATTTTGAGGGTGGAGCCTGAGGAGGACAGGGTTTGGGGAGAGGAGGAACTTCACTGGGGTATAATGCCACACAGTCTATCTTCCAAAGTGGCAGTGTGTAAATTGTAATTCCAGGAGATCTCCAGCCACCACCTGGAGGTTGGTAACCCTAGTTGAGGTGCCTCCCCATCCCAAATCCTGCCATCCCCAAACTCCACCTCCAAATCTCCAGGAATTTCCCACCCAAAAGTTAGCAACTCTACTCTGTTCCTGGGTGGCTATGTAGGGATGTCAGGCTACTGTCTGGCATCCCTGGGAGCTTCAGGAGCAGGGCAAGGAGTGGATGTGATGTCAAGTCAGCTGATGCTCTAAAAACTTTATGGTGCTGAATCCTGATATCACATCTAGGGGTTTGCCCGGACATGGTGGCATGTAGTGGAATGTAATTTCCATTCCCCACTGTTCTCCTGCTGGCC